AGGGAGGGAGGGGTGGGAAGAGATATTTTCCAATTGAATAATATATTTGCTGTATTTCAGATTAAATTAATCAGAAGTGAAATTTTTTATTAGATCACAATTCAGATTTAAGCAGCTCAAGTACTTAAATTGCTATTTCTGCACCATTGCAGTAACTTCTCTCTGTGTGCAGAATATAGTTACAATAATTTGTCTAATGAATGTCACACATTCATTCATATTTGTACACCTAGCATACATAAAATACAGTTGTGTCACTGCTGATTATTCTCATAGTCAAAAATTAAAAAGACAACTTTATGTTAGTGGTGGAAATACAGCTGATTTTAAGAAAACGTCTCTAGGTAGAAATCTTGTGCGCAGTGGAATAAATGGCAAAATTCTTCATTTCAGATATACTTTTTATGCTATAAATCTTAAATCACCTTTATTCCTTTAAAGGGCAAATTCATCAGAATCCACTTTGGTGCCACAGGAAAACTGGCTTCTGCAGATATTGAAACATGTAAGGCACTCTCCTGAGCAACTGACAATCTGTCCATTCCTCCATCTATCCATGCAGCATATTTTCACCCCACCATCTATAGTACCTTCCCTCTTTTCTTCCCGTCTTCCATCTTCTCGTTACTTTTTTTTTTTTTTCCTGTTTCTTCTTGCTTCTAACTAAATTTTCCCTCCAGATCTGCTGGAGAAGTCCAGGGTCACTTTCCAGCTCAAGGCGGAAAGGAGCTACCACATCTTTTATCAGATCATGTCCAACAAGAAGCCAGAGCTAATCGGTAGGAAGAATTACTAACTTGGAGGAAGATTGCTAAATATCAGATGACATTATTATTTGCTTGACTAAACTAAGCCTACCTGACCCATCTTCTTATTTTCAGACATGCTCCTCATCACCACCAACCCATATGACTACCAATTTGTGAGTCAAGGTGAGATCACTGTCGCCAGCATTAACGACCAGGAGGAGCTGATGGCTACAGATGTGAGTAGCAATTCAGAGTACTGTAGCTACTGTCATCTCCCAGGCAAAGCTTTTATTTTACTGTTCCTATTGCAGAGTGCCATTGACATCCTGGGCTTCAGTGCTGATGAGAAAACAGCCATCTACAAGCTGACAGGGGCTGTCATGCACTACGGGAACCTGAAGTTCAAGCAGAAACAACGAGAGGAACAGGCAGAGCCTGATGGCACCGAAGGTATTAAAATCATATAGAAGTCCTAATAACAGAAGCAGTTACATAGCTGGAAGTTGACAATCAGGTATTTTCATTCCATTTACTTTCACAAATACATAAATCACACTTTCCAGATTATTCATGCTTCTAAATTTCCCTTCAAGATGCCACAAAATTTCAGTGCCGAGACCAACAGCTACATCTTAGAGGATACCCACTTTCAATTATCATTTCTCCTCTGTCACTTCCTCCCTCTCTCTTTGTGTTCAGTTGCTGACAAGGCTGCCTACCTGATGGGTCTGAACTCAGCAGACCTGCTCAAGGCCCTCTGCTACCCCCGAGTCAAGGTGGGGAATGAATACGTGACCAAGGGCCAAACTGTGCAGCAGGTAACAACAGCCACTTGGTGACTGGGAACCTCTGACTTGAATCACTTCCTATTTGCTCTGGATATTGCATTTCTTCTGCTCCACTCTTCTTTGGCTTAGGTGTACAATGCTGTGGGTGCCCTGGCAAAGGCTGTCTATGAGAAGATGTTCCTGTGGATGGTTGTCCGTATCAATGAACAGCTGGACACGAAGCAGCCCAGGCAGTACTTCATTGGTGTCCTGGACATTGCTGGCTTTGAGATCTTTGATGTAAGGATTTCAGGTTTGAAAGGAATCAAGGCATGAATATTTACATGTTTAATCAGAGATACAATAGATTTTCAATGTGGAGACAGGAGCATGCACTCATCTTTTTTGCTGACTAAAAGATGCGGGAGTATTTTATTAATTTTAGGAGATTCACTAAAAAAAATCTTCTCAAAAAAAAAAAAAATCCCTAGTTTTCATTATGTAGATATTTCTTTCTGGAGCTGCATATATGTTATGTCATGGTGTGGTCCTGATAACACAGTTGTGTTTTAACTGAGGAGACTTAAGAAGGGTGGAACAGAATGATGAAGAACTGAGCATATTGATGAGGATTGGTTGTTGTGGTTTTTTTCCACTGAGCAGTTCAACAGCCTGGAGCAGCTGTGCATCAACTTCACCAATGAGAAACTGCAACAGTTCTTCAACCACCACATGTTCGTGCTGGAGCAGGAGGAGTACAAGAAGGAGGGGATTGAATGGGAGTTCATTGACTTTGGCATGGACCTGGCTGCCTGCATTGAGCTCATTGAGAAGGTGTGTTTTTAATTCAAGATATCTTCCATTTTCAAGAACCCATTGTTTTCAGTTTCCCATTATTAGATTCTTGTATTTGGTTTTAATTGTAGAAATATATATTGAACTTTACTATTGCTAGTTACGCATTATAGCTATTACAAAGTCCACAGAAAACTATAGATGTAAATAGAATAGAAAACTATAGAAGTAATTCTCACACTTTCTCTGCATGGAAGGTATATCCATTAGCTTGGATAAAGGATATTATCTTCAAAAACACTGGGCAGTGCCTAAATTAAAATGAAAACATTTTCTTAGGGTTCTGGAATAAAGTTATTTGGAAAACACTTTTTTTCTGTATGGTTCACAGCAAAGCAAATACAATGCCTGACCTTTGAAAGGAAGAAAGTTTCTTGTAGCTCCATACAATTTAGGACACTGATTGAAAATTCAAAAACAGAAGTAAATATGCAAAAGGACACATATGTGAAAAATACTTTTAAATATATTCTTTCTCTTCATTAACTTTAACATTGTCTTTGGCATAGGAAACATTCCTGAATCACAATGCCAAAGTGTAAATCAAGCAGGTGAATCTTTTAAACTCACTTTTTAGAAATAAATTTTCTACATTGCGAAGTTTGTTTTTCAGCTTCCTGTCTTTTACTACACTCCCTCTGAGACCAAGCCATAGTTGTATACTCTACAGGCATTCTCTCTTGTTTATTGAACTATCTTCCAGCCCATGGGCATCTTCTCCATCCTGGAAGAGGAGTGCATGTTCCCCAAGGCAACTGACACCTCTTTCAAGAACAAGCTCTATGACCAGCACCTGGGCAAGTCCAACAACTTCCAGAAGCCCAAGCCTGGCAAGGGCAAGGCTGAGGCCCACTTCTCCCTGGTGCACTACGCTGGCACAGTGGACTACAACATCACTGGCTGGCTGGAGAAGAACAAGGACCCTCTGAATGAAACTGTCATTGGGCTGTACCAGAAATCATCTGTGAAGACCCTGGCATTACTTTTTGCTTCTTATGGTGGAGCAGAAGCAGGTTATTTTTCTAAATTTTCTTTTTCAACATTTGGGATATGTAAAGATGCAACAAAAAAGGTTATATTGAATTTTTTTAAATTTTTTTTTAAAGAGGCTGGTGGTGGTGGTGGCGGCAAGAAGGGAGGCAAGAAGAAGGGTTCTTCTTTCCAGACTGTCTCAGCTCTTTTCAGGGTAAATTATGGATTCATTTTCTATAAAGTGAAATGAACATAGTGTCAAAACAGAGCTAAGGTTGTATTTTGGCACTGGTTTTCTAAAGAAGCAATACTAAATTTGAAGTGCCTTTCATAGTGATTTTCTGTTAAGAGTTAAGGATTCAGTCTTCATTTGGCTCTCTGAATTTCTTATAAAAGTTTATTCACATTTTTTGTGAAAAAATATTTTTCAGAATCTGTTATGTAGTATACAAATATTTATCCCAAAAAGGCTTCCGTTGAAATACTTATACAGTAGTGTTTTACGTCCTACAAAATAAGGTGAAGAATTTAAAACATTTTTTTAAATGACAATATTTGTCAATAAAAAAGTATGTAGAAAGATTGATTAAATCTAAACTTTGAATTTGAAGGCTTCTTTCTCCTCAGATTCATTGTATTAATTCCTTGGCATCTAGGTACAAAAGAAAATTTCTTTCATCTAAGCAACTCTGCTTGATCCCACAGGAGAACCTGAACAAGCTGATGACCAATCTGCGCAGCACCCACCCCCATTTTGTGCGCTGTATCATCCCCAATGAAACTAAAACACCTGGTAAGCTGCTGAAGCAGAAACATCCTTGCTCTAATACACCCATTCCCCTGTGCACTGCAATCTGTGCCATTCCTTTGTGCTCTGCATTGCCAGGTGCCATGGAGCACGAGCTG